TCATTGGTGGTTAATTTTGAAAATTTATTTAGCTCAGCAGAGTGGCTCAGTGGTTGAGCATCAACCTCTAAACCAGGTTATGGTTCGATTCCCGGTCAGGGCACATGCCTGGGTTACAGGCTCAATCCCTAATGTGAGGCATAAAGGAGGCAGCCAATCAATGATTCTTTCTCATCACTGATGTTTCTATCTCTCTCTCCCTCTCCCTTCCTCTCTGAAATCAATAAAAATCTATTTAAATTTTAAAAAAAACTTTAAAAGCTTTGATTTAGTCTCCCATAAGCATGAGCTTTGACATTTTTGTTATCACCAAGAAAAGGTCACATTCAGTGGCATAAAGAAAACAGTGAGGGCATTTAAAAAAAATCCCAAAATGTATAAATGACATATTTTTATTTAAGTATAGGTGGTATACAATATTATATTAGTTATATTAGTTTCAGGTGTACAATATAGTGATTCAACATTTTTATACCTTACAATGTGATCACCCCACTAATTCTATTTTTTTTTAAATATAATGATTTCAGAGAGGAAGGGAGAGGGAGAGAGAAATAGAAACATCAATGATGAGAGAGAATCATTGATTGGCTGCCTCCTGCAAACCCCCTACTGGGGATCGAGCCTGCAACCCTGGCATGTGCCCTTGACCAGAATCGAACCTGGGACCCTTCAGTCCGCAGGCCATTGCTCTGTCCACTGAGCCAAACCAGCAAGGTCACACCACTAATTCTAGTAATCATCTGTCACCATGCAAACTTAACACAATATTATTGACTATATTCCCCTTCAGCTTTTTCATCCATCCCTTCACCCTCCACCCCTCTGGCAACCATCCCTTTGGTGTTATTTCTATAAGTCTGTTTTTGCATTATTCTGTTTGTTTTAAATTCTATATATAAGTGAATACAGTATTTGTCTTTCTCGGTCTGACTTATTTCATTTAGCATAATGTCCTCTAGGATCATCCATGTTGTTGCAAATGGCAAAATTTCTTTTTTAGTGTCACACACACACACACCTCCTTTATCTACTCACCTATGGACAGACACCTACGTTGCTTCTATATCTTGGCTATTGTAAACAATGCTGCACTGAAAACAGGGGTGCATATATCTTTTCAAATTAATATTTTCAATTTCTTCAGATAAATACCCAGGGGTGGAATTGCTGGGTCATATTGTAGTTCTATTTTTAT